CAGTGAGAGCGAGAAGTGGCACCTATTCAGCTTGTGGGGCCGTGTTCTCATGATCTCTACTTCTCCACAGAGCTGACAGTCACAGCACGAAGGCCCTCTGATACCCACAGCCTGTGCTCTAAGAAAACAGATGTCAGAGGGAAATCGTGTTGTATACAGCACAGCCACAAGCACAAGGATCCTTGGGGAAAAAAGGGACTTGGGGGAGAGCCAGAGATCAGCTCATTTGGAAGGTAGATGGCTAAGGCTGGAAACCTGAAGACAAACGTTTCCATCTCAAAATATGTCATCTGTAAAGTGAAATACAGCCAGGGCGCCCCATGAGCTGTGCACAGATTTGAAAGCGACCCACAGACCCAGTGAGGGCAGGAGCAGCAGTCAGCAGTGTGGCTGCTGAAGGCTTGAGTGAGGAGCCCCTGTGCTGACACAACGCTGGGCATTTTTACACATATTAGTCTTATCCTGCACTGAGGATCAAAAACTCACCAACCAACCAATACTATCTTTCTGAATATCACACATTTGCCAACAGTGGGAAAACAAAAATAATGAGTGTACCTTTACACACCACAGGATAGGGTTAAACTGGAGTCCTGGTCCGGAGACTCTGGAGCTCTAAATCTCTGTTCTGTTACTCAAATCACTGAGCTCTGCATGCAGAAATTCAACCAAACAAGACCCTCAGGAGAATGAGGGGCCGTTCCTGTGCCCTCTAACTCTCTCTGGAGTATCGTCAATGGGCTGCATTGCAAGCTACTGGGGTAGATGCATAAAGTCATGAATGACACAAGCTAGCAAGGTATGGGCCAGAGAGATGGCTCAGCTGCTAAGAGCACTGGCTGCTCTTACAGAGGACCCGGGTTCAGTTCCCAGAACTCATATGGCACCTAACAACTCTCCATAACTCCAGTTCCAGGGAATCCATCCTCTTCTAATCTCCACAGGCATTGCACGTATGTGGTGCACTTACATACATGTAGGAAAAATACTTGTACTGGGCCATCATCAATAAAGGTGTTACACACTTCTATTAACACAATGAAGAATCTTTTCACAATGCTGACATCAAGAGACCGAACCCACAGGCAGCAAGCTATGATGCCCACAGGTACATCCAAGAGGATGAGAACTGGTGCAGTAGATCCCATGTCCTACAGCCTATGACGCATGCAACAGCTCCCATTGTATGTGCTACAAACATTGCATCCTGACAAGTCAATCTTGAGGTCAGGAACAGGGAAGAAATTAGTTCCTGGAGAAAAGAGCGATCTGCCACACCTGCCTCAAACAATTCAAAACCCAAACCAGCCACTACCCCCCAAACTCCTCTGGGTCCTAAACACTTAAGTTATCACAGCCTGAACAGAAACCAAACCTCCAAAATGACAGACTCAGAATTTCAGAAACATTTCTCTGCAGCTGCAGAAACTGAAAAATAAAAAGTTTCTGTCTTAAAGGTAGTACATAAATTGCTTCCTCTCCTCCAGGTGCCCTGTCTTCATTCTCCCTTCGCTAATCAGAGTCTTCCTCTCCCCCGTTTTTGGTTGGAAACGTGGCATAGGACATCTCTCCCCCGTTTTTGGTTGGAAACGTGGCATAGGACATCGGAAGATGAAAGGAAGAGGGAGGGGGGAGGCTACTTTCAAATCTGACACATACACACACCCCAACTGGCAGCCCACACCCTGAAGGACCATCAAGCCACATGCCACCTAAGAAAGGGCTGAAGGACAGAACTGTTGAGAAGAAAACTCCCCCTTGTGCCACCTCTCCCGAAGCAGTTAAGAAAGAGAAAGCTGGAAAGGAAGGAGGGGGAAAATAAAGTTCCACATTCCTGACATTTTTTAGCCAAGTGCAGTGGCTGCACAGAACAGCTCTATTCCAAACAGCCAGCAAGACTGGAAGAGAAAACCTGGGTCCGGGGAAGAAGCTGTCCCTGACTTGGAAATAAGAAGAGCCCAAACTAAACCAAAAGTGTGTGTAAGCACTGCAGCAGCATAGGAAAAGGCCAGACAGCCTTTCATCTGTTCCCAAAAGGAAGTGATCCCAAGGGAAGGAATTTGGCATCAACATCTCCCTGAAGACAGAGAACTAAAGCCCTGGGGATCCTGACAGGGAAATCAAAGCCCCTGGATGCTGCAGTGGTGACTAGCAAAGCAGGGCTCACTTGGATATGAAGGGCTAAGACTTGTTAGAGTGTGGGATGGTGGGGGGCAGAGGAACCAGCTCCCAGAGGCTGGGCAAGGGACCTCTGGAAGGCGAGTGATCAGGAGAGTCACTTTCTGGAGGAAGAATTACAACACACTTTTCCTGGCTCAACATCAATGAATGAAGGAATCCTAGTCTGGACCAAGACACAAACTCAGGAACCTGATGACCTTTCTCCAGATTTCCCCCACACCTCCTTCTGTCCTCACTTCTAAGGAAACCTCCCCACTATATGCCTCTCTATAAATACACACACACACACACACACACCATCCCCTGGAAAGATCCTAGAAGACCCGAAGAAATATCTTGTACTAGGTTTTGAGGTCTCACCAAACCCATCCTCAGGCTCCTAATCATACTCCAAGTATGAAGATGCTCATATTGGTTTCTCTGTGGTTCTAGATGTTTCTGTTCTCATTTGGTAAAGATAGCTGCTACATACACACACACACACACACACACACACACACACACACACACACACACACACACACACACACACACACACACACACACACACACACACACAGTCTCTGTACAGTCAATGGACAGAAACAGATAGTAAGGACCTACTATGCACCCAGCAGAGATCAGGAATCTTTTAGACTGGAAGTTGAGGGCAAAGACCGCTTCCTCCTAAATCAGCACAGACTAGTGATTCCTCAAAGCATCGTTACAAGGAAGCACCTGTCCCAGAGGTCCTGTAGGGCTAAAGCACTACAAGAAAAGAAGAGGGGACGGTGGAAAAAGAGTACCTGCTGGCATCTCAACAGCCCATTCCACACTCCCCAATCCCTTCCTAAGGAAAAATAAGGAACATATTTTTGTTTTTTCTCGCTTTGGTCCTTTCTCTTCCATCAGGTACTAGGAACAATAAATAATTCCAGCACATCTCTGTTTCCACAGATTGTCAGGTCTAATGCATAGGACTTTCTACAAGGCCGGAGACAGGCAGGGAAGGAGGTAGGAGTACAAATGCTAGGCATCACTCTTTGCACAAAGCTAAGGCAGGTAAAGCCAAAAACCTTAGCAAATGAACAAGCCAAAGATGTGGCCAGCTGCAGAGCATGCAGCTATGATGTTTATGACTACAGGTGTGTCTTTCTGGTCAAACTAGGACTTGGGACATGGCACTGGGAAGCTTCTTAGAATGGAAGACAGCAAGCAGACATAAGGCAAATGGCTAAGTATAGCAAATCCTCCCCTGCTTTGTTATTAAGCCATTATGTTAACTAATAACAGGGGTCCAGGAGCAGGAAACTCTCCTCTCTTTGATAGGAAAGAACAGCTCTTGCTAATATTGGTTTTAAGCCTTACAATCAATCACTCTGTAAGGAAGACATATTTTAATGACTGCTTTGATGATAGGGAAACTGAGGCTGCAGTCTTCAATCAGACCGAGCAAGGAACCAGTCTTATCCCATACAGTAAGACAGGGCAGGTCAGGAGGGGGAAGAGGAACAGCGACAAGCACTACCAAAAGAGTGTGGATGCCAATCCCAGCCTCCAGCTTCTTTCCTGCAGACCCTACAGCCTGGCCAAAGGCAACCCTGACCTAGCTCAAGAACATCCCCTCCTGGAGAGCAGGTCCATCAGTCAAATGAGATCCGACAGGACAGAATGAAGACAAGGAACACGGGATAGACAGTCAGACATGGAAGGAGACTCAGTTACTCAAGAATCCTTCATCTCCAGGCAACTTTTAAACGGCTATAGCTTCTTAACATACCCCAGAGTGCAGATAAGTTACCCTATTCAGGAGGGAAGAGAAAGTGACTTCTCCGGACCATGAGACCCACAGTAAGGGCAAAGGGAGTGTCACATATTGCACTCTTGATACAAGGTATACAGCAGCAAACTCATGCTCAGTTTCCTCCAAGTCTTCCACTTTTCAGTATCACATTTCTCACTCTGTAAGTAGGGAGCCCTTCCTATCCTATCAGCCCCTTGGATTCTGACTCCTTGCTGGCTTACTCAGACTCAGTCCCGAGGCCTACACCACCACCAGCGCACTGCTGAATATAGGATCCTAGTCTGTGTTTCCCTCCAGATACCCTAGCAGCTACAAGCAAATCACCCTTCGCCTAAAATCAAGGTATCCCGATTCTTCCTGCAGCTGTAAAGGGAATGAGGTTCTGGGTCCAAGTCACACAGGGATCTAACAGGTGACAAAGGAAACCTCAGAACTTAGGCCTTTAGGCTATATTAAAGAAGAGGTTGTAGAAGGCCCCCCACTGGGGTAGGGTCAGGGCCAGGTATGAACACCTGGAGCAATTTCCAGAGATAAAGATGCAGAAGCTCTGAAACCCAGAGGAGAGGTGGAGAAAGGTCCAGAGTCCCTCCCACTGAAAGAAGCCAGAAGAGCTAGCGGGCCCCCATTTGGGAGGGGGTTGTTGTGCAATTACTGTGGGTCTGGGAGTCTCCCAGCTTGGCTCCAGGACGCCAGAAAGGAAACCCCACGTATCTGGCCAGGGTGGCAGCGCTGCAGTTGGTTCGAGGCCAGGCTTGGGTTCCCGAGCTGCAGAGAGAGAGCTGCGGGATATGGTGGGAGCCTACGGGGGCGACAGAAGAGGGCAGGGCCGGCGAGGAGCGGAGCTGGGGGTGCTGTCTGGGCTGCCCCAGGTCCAGGCCAGGCTGGTACAGTGGACAAAGCCAGAGGTGCTCACGATAACGTGCGGGACAGCCAGGCGGGCTCCAGCCCAGATGAGGTCCCGGAATCCCTGTCTGCCCGACGGCGCACGGGAGATGGGACCGCCTGCCCCTGCAGCACCCTCTCCCGGTTCTCTCACCTCGAACATAAGCCCGATAAGGACGCAGAGCACCAAGCAGAAGCCGATGTCCGCATGGTTGTGGATGACGAACTCCTGGCTGAAGAGTGGGTAACTTTTCGTCCTCCTGCGGAAAGCCATGGCAGCGGGCGTGCACGGCGGGCGGGGGCCCACGCTCTCCCTCTACAGCCGCAGTGCAAACTTCTCCGGCCCCGGCCCGGTCCGCCTGCAAGCCCGATAAGGACGCAGAGCACCAAGCAGAAGCCGATGTCCGCATGGTTGTGGATGACGAACTCCTGGCTGAAGAGTGGGTAACTTTTCGTCCTCCTGCGGAAAGCCATGGCAGCGGGCGTGCACGGCGGGCGGGGGCCCACGCTCTCCCTCTACAGCCGCAGTGCAAACTTCTCCGGCCCCGGCCCGGTCCGCCTGCCCGCCCCTCTGCCCTGCGCGGAACAACTTCGGGCCCCGCCCCCTTCCTCCG